CATACTATTGCCATATTGGAGACACCAGTACTCTATTCCAGCAGTTGTTTCATCAGTGGTTCTCCTGGAACCGCTGTGGGGGGGGGGTAAAGGGTTAAAGTTTTTTTGGTTTTTCTGCCTGATTTTCAAAACTTCGGTAAAAATTTCAGTTTATGATATGAAATGCGGTCGGTAATCAGCGCTAATTAGTCGATAACAGGAATAAAAGAAAAGAAATTTATCACATTTTCTCGTAGTAAATATTCTCCACACATTCCTTCATAGATCTACGCAAGAATCAAGTTCTAATGATAAGTGAAGAATGAACAGGAATTCCTTTAATAATAGCCTCGTGCTAAAAAATTTAACAATATTTTTTTAGTTCTTAATTCTTTTCTCAGCCATATAATGCCAGTAAGACACAAAAAGTTCAGGATATATACTTCGAAGTATCTTCTGCAAACTGGAGAAGTTGAAGAAAATCTAAATGAGGTGGCCTCCCGTTAAGTAGTGAAGTCTGTATTAATATACATGTTAGCGAGGTTTCTTTAATTGTTTTCTATTCATAAGTGACTATTATACTGTAACTATATAAGTGACCACTTATTTGTGACTATCTTTATCGTACCTATGATATCTTCTGACCTCTCCTCTTCATCGACATCTTCATCATCATTTTCAAATGAATTCAACTGATTATCACCATATTTTTTGTTTTACTTCCAAAGACCGTTGCATATTATTAGATCAAAACACCAAATACGTTGAATATCATCATCGGTATATCGACATGCGCTCGTCATATTGCTGGCACCATCGCATGTTATCGAATGCAATCGGTCATTTATGCCCAATTTCGTCAAACTATTTGAGATTGATTGAGCAATATTAGATGATACATCCATGCTGAAAAATTTAAAGCTGTTGATTTGTAATCAAAATTTTCCTTGAAATAATGGCCCGTAATACACAAGAATGACTGCAATGCTCTATGTCTCCAAAAGTCCGTGGTAATTGATATAGATTCAATATCTTTCAATTGTTGTATTAATTGAGTACGATGTGTTTTTCGAAGGCGTTTAAGACTTCTTTGGACGGTATTTCTGTGTGGTGGTGTGTAGCCTATTAAAAGCAGAAAATGTGCTCTAGATCATAAACTTCTTAAAAATTTATTGCTCATTCATAAATAGCTCTTATTCATCCTACTCTGAGATAGATAGTAGGATTTTCCAAAGTACCAAAGGTCTTTGGCAAATCTGTCATAGCTCAGAAACTTCAGGTACGAATGTTTTCGTTCTTTCTAAAGAATAGATAGCCCAGAGTTTCCTCTTTAAATTGGATGTCAAGCAAGACCTTGATTTCCAGTATTCAGTCATGAAATCACATTTCTTTGGAGCCGTAGGACTGTTGTCTAGTGACGTAGGGTAACCTAAAAGCTAGATGGAACATACCAAATCGACCATGCTAGCAATGTTTGTTGTGGGGAAAGAATTCAAAAACCATTTAAAAAGCGGGTTTTTCAAAATTGGGATTTCTGGGCTATTTTCACCCGATACTGAAAAAAACACAATTCTCTCAAAAACCATCGAAAAGAGTTCAGAACTTTACGACATGGTTAGTTTTGCTCTCTGAACGTGATTATATGATCGAAAAGTACAAAAAGCATATTTCTGTTTTAAGATTTTTCAGAAACCTTTTGGAAAAATCACGGAGTTCTATAAAATTCCTTGAATGCTAGCGGATATACGGACGCTCATCCAGGACCTTTTAAAACAGTGGCTGAAGTCTGCTTCTCTCTTGACGTTGCCACCTGTGTTGCTCCGTCTTGTGATGCAGAGCCTTTTATCTGCTGCAGCTGGTGCCACAAACCGCTGTGCTTTACTCATTTTTTCTTGAACTATCACTTCCACTAGTTTTCTATAGGAAGATTGTCGTGCTTTAAAAACTGGTATTACGAACATCATAAGAATTTGTATGCTATTTGAACTCGTGAATAACGAATAGAATCGTTATAGATAGAGTTATATCCAGCTCTCAAATCCAAATATATCGTGCAAGGAGCGCATAATACTGAAGAAAAAGCTTCAGCCATTGATGTTCGACTATTCTCAAAAAATAGTCATAGATCGTTTTAATCTCATTTCCTCATAGGATATCTTGAAAATTCAATATCCTAGGAATGAAGGCACGAGGGAATGAATTCTTTTCAGGTTTTTCATATCTCATCGAGGTCTACTTATGGCCAAAAGATGAAGTCTAAACGGCTTGAACACTTGGGGATCTTCCCTCGTTAGTTCTTGTTTAGATTTATTGTTATTAGAACAGAGAAATCTTGAAAAGCAATTATAAAAAGCATATTACACAAACATTTCTGCCATTTGGTTAGCTTCCTGGGATCTGAAACCTAGACGAGCTAATATGTCTCTGACATGTTCATTAACCCACTTCCATGTAGGTTGATTAAGCCATGTACAATATTGATTCCATATTCGTTTAAGCACAGCTGATATGCCACCAGACTGTTTTATAAAATCAACGGGTTTGTTGGTGGCATGGTTCATAATAGCATCCCACACATCTTTAGCTGATTGTTCTCGTAATGGCCTACACACAGATTCCGACGGTCCACCTTTTGCAAAACAAGTTGCCACCATACCATGTAATCTCATTCCATTGTTTTTAAAAGCATCTTCATTCCTTCTCACCCAATCTGACATTGGATCTTCATTCTCACAACCAGTGATTACACAAATAACAGGAATCTGGTGGTTGGTAACTATGTCGCAAAACATTTCATAGTTGTCCTTGTCCGTTTGTATAATAGTTCCTATTCGTCTCACATATATAAGCAAATTCATACCATTTTTAGAATGTTGTAACAATTTGAGAATATTTTGCACTGCATCTTTACTTTTCACCCTTCCTTTCTCCGTTTCATTAAGTCCAGCAGTATCCAAGAAATGGTATGGAACTTCGCCTTTGGAGACTGGTGGTACTTGTCTGGTTTCAAAAGTACACCCCTTCGCATCATTATTTACTTGAAAGTTATAGCCAGTGAGCTCGTTTATCATACTTGTCTTTCCAGCGTTTGATGAGCCAAATATAAGCACTGTTCGAGAAGCCATCTGATGAATAGAGAAAACAATTGGTAAGCAATGAAAACAGTGATTTGTCGTCTATTTCTTAGATTTTGTGTACGTGTCTCTTATAACCTCAACAACGTTAGAATTTTAGAAGCACAGGCCAGAAAAAATTAATTATTAAGATAAAGCATACAGAATCTAGCTGTCGGTTACAGCAATACTACCGAGGAAAATGGAACTGTCGAGGAAAGACGACAATAACTTAAGGTCAACTTTTGATTAAATAACGGGATATATATAGATTTGTAGAAAAAGATCTCTCCTATCCAGTAGTATAAATATTATAAAATTTTGGCTTTGGTCTTTACTGTTTTGACTTCAGTGTAGCTTGTGCCAATATCCGAATCATGTTAACGAAGTTAAAAATCGGTCTCTCACGATCCGCTATAGAATTTGATTACAAATGTACCACTGGAGAGAGCAAATTTGATTGAACGTGATTATATGATCGAAAAGTACAAAAAGCATATTTCTGTTTTAAGATTTTTCAGAAACCTTTTGGAAAAATCACGGAGTTCTATAAAATTCCTTGAATGCTAGCGGATATACGGACGCTCATCCAGGACCTTTTAAAACAGTGGCTGAAGTCTGCTTCTCTCTTGACGTTGCCACCTGTGTTGCTCCGTCTTGTGATGCAGAGCCTTTTATCTGCTGCAGCTGGTGCCACAAACCGCTGTGCTTTACTCATTTTTTCTTGAACTATCACTTCCACTAGTTTTCTATAGGAAGATTGTCGTGCTTTAAAAACTGGTATTACGAACATCATAAGAATTTGTATGCTATTTGAACTCGTGAATAACGAATAGAATCGTTATAGATAGAGTTATATCCAGCTCTCAAATCCAAATATATCGTGCAAGGAGCGCATAATACTGAAGAAAAAGCTTCAGCCATTGATGTTCGACTATTCTCAAAAAATAGTCATAGATCGTTTTAATCTCATTTCCTCATAGGATATCTTGAAAATTCAATATCCTAGGAATGAAGGCACGAGGGAATGAATTCTTTTCAGGTTTTTCATATCTCATCGAGGTCTACTTATGGCCAAAAGATGAAGTCTAAACGGCTTGAACACTTGGGGATCTTCCCTCGTTAGTTCTTGTTTAGATTTATTGTTATTAGAACAGAGAAATCTTGAAAAGCAATTATAAAAAGCATATTACACAAACATTTCTGCCATTTGGTTAGCTTCCTGGGATCTGAAACCTAGACGAGCTAATATGTCTCTGACATGTTCATTAACCCACTTCCATGTAGGTTGATTAAGCCATGTACAATATTGATTCCATATTCGTTTAAGCACAGCTGATATGCCACCAGACTGTTTTATAAAATCAACGGGTTTGTTGGTGGCATGGTTCATAATAGCATCCCACACATCTTTAGCTGATTGTTCTCGTAATGGCCTACACACAGATTCCGACGGTCCACCTTTTGCAAAACAAGTTGCCACCATACCATGTAATCTCATTCCATTGTTTTTAAAAGCATCTTCATTCCTTCTCACCCAATCTGACATTGGATCTTCATTCTCACAACCAGTGATTACACAAATAACAGGAATCTGGTGGTTGGTAACTATGTCGCAAAACATTTCATAGTTGTCCTTGTCCGTTTGTATAATAGTTCCTATTCGTCTCACATATATAAGCAAATTCATACCATTTTTAGAATGTTGTAACAATTTGAGAATATTTTGCACTGCATCTTTACTTTTCACCCTTCCTTTCTCCGTTTCATTAAGTCCAGCAGTATCCAAGAAATGGTATGGAACTTCGCCTTTGGAGACTGGTGGTACTTGTCTGGTTTCAAAAGTACACCCCTTCGCATCATTATTTACTTGAAAGTTATAGCCAGTGAGCTCGTTTATCATACTTGTCTTTCCAGCGTTTGATGAGCCAAATATAAGCACTGTTCGAGAAGCCATCTGATGAATAGAGAAAACAATTGGTAAGCAATGAAAACAGTGATTTGTCGTCTATTTCTTAGATTTTGTGTACGTGTCTCTTATAACCTCAACAACGTTAGAATTTTAGAAGCACAGGCCAGAAAAAATTAATTATTAAGATAAAGCATACAGAATCTAGCTGTCGGTTACAGCAATACTACCGAGGAAAATGGAACTGTCGAGGAAAGACGACAATAACTTAAGGTCAACTTTTGATTAAATAACGGGATATATATAGATTTGTAGAAAAAGATCTCTCCTATCCAGTAGTATAAATATTATAAAATTTTGGCTTTGGTCTTTACTGTTTTGACTTCAGTGTAGCTTGTGCCAATATCCGAATCATGTTAACGAAGTTAAAAATCGGTCTCTCACGATCCGCTATAGAATTTGATTACAAATGTACCACTGGAGAGAGCAAATTTTCTTCTATAAATCTACATCTATCCGGTTTTTAGTCAAAACGTTAAAGTCACCTTTACTGAAGAAATACGAATGGTGAAATACATTATTTTTTCTCTAATAAGGAAAGTCACTCTTCTTTGTGCCGATCTCAGTCATAGTTCTGTTTTGTGTACTTTATTTGGAAGTTCTTGGGAATTTGCTACAGATATATGGAAGAATTTCTGTGAATGGATGGGTAATGAAATGTGGACTGAACCCGTACCGGGCACTATGAAACTCTTGGGTTCAAAGAAAAAGTAACGAATAAGAGACATTGTCTATCTATTGAATAAATCAGATGAAACAGTTATCTCGAATAAACTCGTTTGTTCGACTTTTTCTCTGCATGAGCAGTAATCCAATAAGTACCCCAGCTGAGATAAGATGCACATCGGTTATTATTTTAGCTATAACTTTATGCTTCAAAAAGTTTAGCATTCGAAGGGGAAATGTCGGATTCGCAATGAATATCAGCACCACATAAAGAGGGAGTGAGGGTGAGAAGGTGTGAGAAAAAGCTACCGCTATCGCGATTTCATCCCGGCTAAGGGAATCATCAGATGGTTTGAATCTGAATCGAATATCGACTGTATGATCACGAAGATCAAGCACTAGAAGCTAATCGATCTCTTGCACTGTTGCCGATGACTCATCCAATGGACAGCGTCACTGGACAACGTCAACGAGTAGGGGCAGCCTGCGGAATCTTTTGTGCAAGAATGGAAAGTGTTAGTTTGCTCGTGTACTAATGGTGATTGCTTAGAGGTTAGTGTCTTCGGAGATGGTCAGATTTTTATGTGTAAACAAGTGATGATCCGTCTAATGGCTGTCAACGAGGTTGTTAATGTATGCCATCGGTGAAACGGTCTTTAGAGGGGTAGTTTGAAATGTCGCTCTTAATGGAGAATCGCTCTGTTTACAGCAGCTGACCGAGTGGATTCCGGAGATGTTGGTTTCGGTCGGGTTTTCGGTTTTCCCTTTTGAACTTCTGTGGGAATGGTTCATCAATAGGAGAATGGGTTATATTGTCGGAGGATTCACTCATTGAGATTAGCGATTTGAGGAGTACTAGACCAATGGTTCCAAAAGCTCAATCTCATAGATACCGCCAGGTCAATCTAAATTCTCGGACGTTGATCTTCGTGCGAGTTCGGGATGCCCAGGCGTGGTGATGGTAGCGATGTACCATTGCTGTTCACTCATTTCAGTTCAACGTCAAGAATTCTGAAAATTTCAAGAGTAGAGCGTTGAGTTTTCATGCGTCCTCGTATTTTTTTTTGGCTGATTCCGTTTCTTACATAGGAAACGTCCAGTTTTTCTAATCTGAATAAGTAGAAAGAAAAAGGCTGACTCTATTTCTTCTTTCACATCTAAACCGGCACACCTGATTGAGGGACAGTATTTTCAAAACAATTTTCTTTCGGAATACAGATTGAGCTAAATGGAAAATTGTACGATCTTTCGCAAGATGATGAATTATTGATGGCAATTGTTCATGCAGGAACAAGAAGCTAGCGAACGAGATGATACGAAAAAAGGCAAGCTAATCATATACAAAATCAACACCAACATGAAGACGATGATTAGTCCATGTTGAATGGATTTTTCCACTGCTTCGGCATCGGTAAGCCTAAGCGAGCTCGGTTCCATTGGATAAAGCTGTCCGTGTGTTCGTGGAAGGAAACGCCTCCCCGAGCTACTGAGTCTTCATCATCATCATAATCATCACGCTTATCATCATCATCGCGATCATATTCATGACCATGGATTCGATGAAGAAACGACTGAAATGCATCATTAGGATGAACGAATTTTGTATCACCGCAGCAACTATCATCATCCCCGAAGGCAGGGGCATAGGGCTAACGACGTGACCTATAAGGAAACGAACAGAGAAGTTGATGATTCATCGATGACATGGATGATAAAATAGATATGTTCAGTGACCATCGTACCTTCTGTCGACGATGGTGATAAATTGTTGCTCTGTTGGTTGCCTTCTTTGTCGAGCCGGAGGGAGGTCCATGTAAATGACTCGACGGGAGAAGGGCAATATGTACTAAGGTCGTTGAAAACCATGGTCGTGAGAAGAGAACATTCGAGGTATTAGTCAACTTACGATCGATGCCATTGATCACTGAGGTTACCGTAAAATAATGAGACAGAAGGATTCTGATCAATCTACGGGAATGCATTCGTGCGATGCTTACCGATTCTGGTCCTATGTCATTTTTCCCCATTTCTTTTGTTGCAGATGAAGTCGGTTTCTTCGAAGATGCCATACTCAGAATTCGTAAATCTAAAATGGAAACAATGGATACGGGTTGACTACAGTGGTACTCATAGACATACAGAAGAAGAACACCTAATTGGATAGAAAAGAACTATCTCGAGGGTGTGCAATAAGAAAGCTGCGACTAATGCGATCCCACCTGAGTTACGAGGATCGTCAAGTGGTTTAAATCTATATCAGTCATTGAAGGTGTGATCAAGAAGATCAAGCACTAATAATACAGTTGATCAATGGCACTTCCGCTGATGATTTATCCAATGGATACCGCCACTGAATGACGCCAATCAGCAGGGTTTCTTTATAGCAGAGAAAGACGGGACAATCATCATCCAGGCAGAAGGCGAGCTCATTCATCTGACTAAGACGAGAAAATGTCGATCAACTTTATTCAGCCTAAACAAGAATGAATGAGAGGAGTGGGAGTTCAGAATTGGAAATGGGTAAAACTGAGCTGTGTCTTAGATGGGTGATAATCGAACTGGTGGATCATCAGTGCTGTTCTTTAGTTCATCGTCCGATGTACTCTGGTCAATTAGAATCGTTTTTGGCGTGGATGGGTCAGTCGTAGTTGGAGTAGTGAGATCGATTATTTCTGCCTCTGGTTGGACTATCAGTGGTGGTGGAGTACACTGATCAATGATTTCAGTTTCTCGCACGTCGACGTTCTCGATTGGAGATGGAATATTTGACGTGGACTGATCAGCATAGTGCTGTACATGATGAGAGACGAATCGCGCCAAGGGTGAATCTTAGAAATAAATTTGCTCTGTGGTTGAGATGAGTTAATTTGGCTGGAATTCGTGACACTTGTGCCCTATTTACATTTTTTTAAAACTTGTATTTGATTGATATTTCCGAGAAAGAACAACACTGATTACATTAAGGAAAGCTGTGTCTAACAGATTGGGTGTAGTAGACAAAGATGAACCTCGGCTTGCGTTCACTTAAAAGGTAGAGACAGTGGGAAGATCAATTTATTAGCTAGGGTCAAAAGTTCTCTTCTCACAGCTTTCTTCATGCAATTGCTGGAAATATAGAAAACCGATCTTGAGATCCTGTTGTCTAACTGAACTCGAACATCTCGGATAAATAAAAGGATGCTTGAGTTTGGATAGAACACATCAGGTTACAAGATAATTCATCGTCGATTAATATTTACACGTAAGCTTGTTTACTTCAATATTAATGCATTTTTTGCCCTTTTAGACTGTTAGCCGATGATTAGAAATTTACCGTTACATTAATACATTAATAATTTTAATGTAACTCTTATCCATTTCTCTCTGTTGTTACGTGTGATGAGTAAACAGCTCTTTTGCTGATTCGGTGCACTTCAGATGCACACGATATTTGTACTATTCAGCTGTTTATTCTGATCGCAAGTCTAATAATTTTCAAAGTGTCTCTCGAGAAAACGGAATGACTCTCTTAAGATAAACACTGTCATAAATGTAACTGACAGTGCTCTACAAAAACCGCATGGAACCTCTTTAGCAACTCTCTAGCAAAACCGTTCATAATCGAAAAATATCTCGTTCTGATTTTCTTCACTTATACTTGATATAACAAGAAAGAATCAGTATGGATCCGTAGCACAATGGTTAAGTGCAAAGAAAGTGAAATTTTTCGTCCTCGGTTCACGGATCTTTTTGTATTTTTCCAAAATCTTTTTTCTCCAAAAATCGAAGTGACCCTTTTGAGATAGATATGCCGAACCACTAAATCGACCATGGCGAACAAGATTTCGCAGGTTTCGCGTTGGCAACCCCCCTGGAAAAAAAGCACCAAATCTTGATATGCATACATAGGACCTATTCTTCGTGATGCAGGAACATTTCCACATATTTTGCTTTTAAAAATTAAAAAACTACTCCACACTAAAATTCCCGTGTTCTAATTGCGACCGACCACTCTAACAGGATTCTTGTCTGAAATGTCAAGAGACAAGAATCTTGCAAGAAATAGGACAAGAAAGTCGATCAGTGCTCTCATGTAAATTTTCTCTTACTGTTTTTTTTTCTCTATATGCAGTGATAGACTATATACGTCATATTTGAACGATGAGAAAGAAATGAAAACACTATTTCGATCTATTTCAATCTCTTCAATATTCTCGAAACATGAAAGTCGTATACTCAATGTAAACGGTATCTCCCGACGATTACACGCACTTCAAATGTTCGAATTGTGTTGCTTTGTTCAAGAGTTTTTAACTGTAACAGTTTTTAAGGACGTCCTTCTCTTTTTGGTCTCTTGGCTTATAAGGCAATGTCTGATCGACCCCAAATTTATACTAGAGATAGAATATCGAAAAAGAAAATCCATGTATTTTTGCTTAGAATATTGTGTCATATTCGTTCATGCGTCTTCTGATAAACTCTATTTTTCATCCAGTCACATTACGACACCTTGAAAGAATGGTCTCGTCGAGCTCAACTTTTTATCACAAATAGTGCAGACTCCATCTCATATTCCAATTTTTTCAAAAAATAAGCATTTCTTCTCGAGATATTCGAAAAGTGGTAACAATTCTATGTAAAAGGTGTACAAAAGTCAGTCTTTCATTTAAACACCATCTCAGGCTGGAAGTTCAACTTGAAAACGCTTAAAAAAATTTAGAATCTGATAGAATCTGACGTTTCTGTGATAAATAGATGAGCTCTATCCGACCATTTTCTAGAGTGGTTGTAATGTGACTGAATTGGAACTATTCGTGTTATGGAACTAAAAGTAACATTAGACCGGTCACTTTTTCACGGGCATTTGCGACAATGCTTATATTTCTGCGAAAAACGATCGAAAAATTCTCGAGGTTGTCTCGTTGTGAAGAGAACACCTTGCTAAAAGATTCTGAATGCACTGAAAAGGAGAGAAAAATTTACAAAACTAAAAAACTGACGTTTTCAGCCTCTTTAGCAAAAAGTTAAAAAATTCATTATTTTTCCATAAAAATCCGTTGAATGCCGGAGATGTACTCACTTTGCAACCCAGGAAATTTTGAGAAAAAAAACTGGGTATCCTTAACTGTAGCAGTTTTAACTGTGACAGTTCGTAACTGCGACAGTTTATAACTGCGACAGTTTTAACTGTACCAATTTTACAGTTCTACGGTTTTACAGTTACAGTTAACTGCTTTTTAACTGAAACTGGTGCATACCTACTTAGAATTTGAGTTCGATCTCGTTTATGGAAGATAGCCTCCAGCTAGTAGTATAAAGTAGAGACTACAAAAGCAGATATTTTTATCGTGAACTATTCAGAAATGACTTAGTCTACTTTACTGTGAAATAACCAGCAGCTGAAATAAGAAAACTGTTTTGCTCTTGAATTATTGCTAGACGTTTACAATTGTTATTGAACGGTAATTATAATGCAAGGTTACTTTCAATACAATAGAATGTCGGCACTTTTTTCAAAATACAACTGACTGTTTCACACCGCTATTTAGTAAAAATAACCTGATGAAGTTTCTAAGACAATTGCACGCTTAATAATTATACCTATGTATCTCGTAGATATTGCAATTAAAACGTGAAGGACTACTATCCTTGAAAAAGAAAGTACAAATTGTGTAGTTCTTTTTTTATCTAGCATTGATTGTACCTATGTGTTGTTTTCTCTTTTTTCTTACCATGGGCATTGATATCACCTTTGTTAGCTGACAGGAAGATCAAAAAGCAACACATATTTTGTTTTATAGTACGTGTGACAACGTCCTTCTCCGAACATTCAATGTGAATGCTTTTCTGATTAGGTATGTTTGTTTTTACTGCTAAAGTAGAAATTAAAAACTTTTGGAATTGAAAATTGATTTAGACAAATAGTTTTTATACAGATAAAAACCGTGTGTAATTATACTCATGAGATTTTTTCGTTGCGTTATTAACGCGTTAAAGTCCGTTTTTTACTGAACGATAAAATGCGTTATCAGCATACTTTTCTTATTACAAAAAATTTAAGGCGATATAACGGATCAAATAATGTATCACGTTGTCATGACGTTGAAAACAATTTATGTTATGGCGAGATAAAGATTAGAATATCTTACGACGTCCTAAAAATATATTCTGTTGCAACACCATTTGCTACCTTCTTTCGATAGTCTCTTTTCAACTAGATTTCATAATGTTTTACTCGGTGTTTTCTTCGAAAATATGAAGCAATTCAAGATTTCTCCTGGAGCACCTACTTTAAAGCATACAGCAATTTACTGCCTTTGTTTTGAGCTTTGAACTTCATTTGATTCCAGTGTCATAAAGTTGAACTATTATGAGTTTGCTTAACTACAGTGTGATATTGTTTTTGCCGCTGAAAAGTTTCGCAGATGTATTTCTTTAAGTTCTTCATCTGTTTATTTTTCAGTTTTGATCCGAAACGTTAATATCACAATAGAAGTGAGAAGGACAGTGTATGCGTTTTACCTGTGAGTTTTGCCAATAAGGTAACATTTGCCGTATGTTAAGAAAACATTCATGCTCAGATTTTCAGTGAATGTGTATCTGTAGATACTTGACACTCGGATCAGATGGTTGGATCCGTGATAACTCAAACTTGGCACAGAGTGATTGGCACCCCCTGCTTTCACAAAATTTTCTGTTTTGTATCTTTCGCTCTTCAAAAAAACATCTTTTTTCTTTTTGCGCTCTTGCTGTTAGATGTTCGGTACGCCACTGAATAACTTTTCCTCTTCGAATGCTCGTCTTCTCTGGAAAATGTCTGTGTACTTAGCCATGACAGTAGTCAAATAGTTAGACTGGTTTGATTACGTACAACAGAATAAAATAAATATTGACAGAAGAATACTTTGTGCACTGCGTTATTAAGTGAAGAAATACCTGATTAACTTGTGTTGTATATCTATTATGTAAGTTAAAAGAGAACGAAAGAATAAACACAGTGGACGATAGTATACGCACACTATCTGTCTGTTTTTCTTGTTTTTTTGACGAATGAATATACACTACACCGTTACAGATCGAGATAGAGGAAAATGTGAAGTCAACGTGATCCTAGTTTTGTGCAAGGACGTGTGCTTTCATAGTTTAAGGAACAGAATGATATAATGGGCATTTATACTCTCGCTGTCGTTCTGTTCTTTTTGGTATCAGAAAAACCTAACGAGTAGTATTGTGTACTTCACTTAATATACAATTTGTAATCATGATCCACTTTTTAGTGCAACTTAGACACATTGATGTTAAAACAACGCATGCACCAATTCCCATTCTTTTTAATCCTGTTTACAATTCTTTGAAACTGAAACTGGTTTCTGAAACCAACTACTGAGATCTTGTCATGTGCAGAAGATATTACTTACCGCTTCTACTCAACACATCTGCCCAATCAATTAGTCA